TTGTTGTGAAGGCAGTAGTGGGTTTTCATATATTGACGTCTCGGGATTTTGTTGTGTGTTCGTATACAATGGATTGTAACGTGGTTGATAATCCTTATTGTAGGTCGGTTGATATGTTTGTTGGTCATTTGGTAATTGTGCAACTGCATCGGCTTCTGTTAAACTGTTTTTTATGTATAGGATGAACAGTAACTGCAATGAGAAGTTACAAAGCAAATTTGTTCCTTTTCGCCGCATTTTACGAATTTTTCCACTTCAATATTTTTAATCAATTAAAGTGAGTTTAGTTCAAAGGCACGTTCTAAATTCGATCCTGATAAAAAAATATATATATTAAAATAAATAAAGAAGCAGAGAAAAGATTATTTAATTTAATGGTTGATTTGGTAATTGACTTTAATAGTTGATGGGAATTAAAGGCAACAACAGGTTCTTTGTATCGCAACAAAACCCGAATTGCACAGAAGACATTACGTCTATCGAACGTAGAGCAAACTGTCTTTCATTTCTACGAATTCAAAGTCTCTTGGTGCAGATGTTAATTAATTTAAGATGTTGACTCATTTTTTTATAGTATTTTTTATTGTTACAGTAGTGAGAGAGTACATATATTGCTATTTAACTATCAGATTTAATAAAAGTGTTTTTTTAAAGACATTCAAATTTGCATATATCTACATTAGGCATACAATCAAGCCTATTGGAAATTTTGTTTCATCATTCTAAATATAATAAAAATATTATAATATCTTCCAAATTTTCCATTCATTAACTTTTTGTTACCATTCTCCCATTGGCGGAAACCGATTTTCATATCTTCCAAATTTTCAATTCATTAACTGGTAACAATTCTCCCATTGGCGGAAACCGATTTTCACATTGCTCTCTACTTCACCTGTAGTAATATCTATCATTTCGCGGAAATCACCCCACACATTGCCCTTTCACCACTTCAATACAATCCCATGCATACTTAGCATACAAACTTTTGTTTTCTAGAAATGGTATAACTTTAAAGTTACGCGTAACACTGTCAGATCTGCAGGTATTCTTGCTGTAGTGCTCAAAGCATCGAATACTTGTCAACTGGTATTTTACATCTATTTATAATGACTCATCTCTGAATTAATCACTAATTACAACTTAGAGAGAGAGAGAGAAAAGGAGAGAGAGAGAGAGAGATAGATAGATAGAGAGAGAGAGAGAGAGAGAGTGAGTGAGAGAGAGAGAGTGAGAGAGAGAGAGAGAGAGAAAGATAGAGCTGAACTAGTTGCAAAGAGAAAGTAAGAATATAAGATTTAATAAAATTTTTCAAGTAGTAATAGGGAGTATCTTTAGTCCATATTAATAAAATCGTTTTCAGAGATTAAGCCCACAGACGTTTGGAAAATCATGCTGTAAAAGTGAATTACCCATTTAAACATAATTGTTGCTACAGTATCGACGCCGATTGACTTTGCTAGGGGTTTATTTTTGGAGCATCGTGTCCAACTACAACACCTTCCTCTAATAAGGCTTTGCTAATGATGCAAGGTGATTTTAAAACCTTACTTTAATAACTTTTTTTAGATTCTTAGCCAGATTCAGGACATTGCTCTAAGGAGTATTTCAAGGTTTTCAAAAGTTCAAGATGGTTTTGAATCTTTAAGTTCTTATACGGTAATACAATGGGCAAATAAAACTAGTTACATACTAAGGATCGTCGGTATGACTTGACTGATCTGAACCAGGACTATAGAAAATCAACAAAAAAAATTTAATAAAACCACTAATTTTTATTAACAATCAAATTTCTAAAGCACTTTTTAGATGACCGATGGTTATTATTTATTATCAAATCATTTTAGCAATATATAATATATAGCAACATATATATAATAAGCAATATGTGAATCAAATTTTAAATAAAATTAATTAGGAATAAGTGAACTCTATTAATTAACGAATACAAACGACATCAATATAAATAAACGCAAGTGAAAGTTTGGCTGGATTGGTCATACTTATGAAAGCCGTCCAGTGAAGTTTGTTTTCAAGTCTTTACGTATAATCCGCAAGGCAGTAGAAGAGGAAGGAATGAGATTACTTGGCTCAGATCAACACTAAACGAAATTAACATCCAATCCACACACCTTGACAGTTCATACATCAATATTGTTGAGCTCAGAGAAGTGACAGTAAGAAGGCAAAGATGAAGGCAATTTATAGATAGCCTATGCCCCAGTATAAAGGCAGCTTGGAATCATGTGATGGCAAGCAAGGCTTAATATATTTATTATTAATTCTAAATTCTAAATCTATTCATTTCAGCTCAGTACTCTTTTTTTAATATAAATATTCTACTAATTTTATTTAAATACTTATAATTCTATATATGTTAAACATTTCAGTTTTAATGGGCAATTAATTGTTTGCTTGAACATAAAACTTAAAAAGAAAACAATTGATGAGCAGATAAAGTATATATTAATATATATATATATATATATATGCATGTTAAAAATGTTCAATTGTAAATAAAATAAAAATATTTTATGAGCTGTGAATTCTAAATAGAACTGAGATACTCGAAATATTAACAAACAAATTTTTAGATTATTGCAGCGCCAATGTAAACAAACAATTTTTGACAGTGGTTAAAATAACAAAAAAACAAACCAAAAAATATAAATATGAGTTATTGAAATTTAATTATTAAAAAACAAAATTTTGAATATACACTTAATTGATTATAATTAAAATATTTTTAAATAAAAATAATTTAAATAAATTTTCATTTATAACTAAAAATATATTTTTTTTGCCGCACACATACATACGCTGGAGTGTAATGACGAATTAATTGAACCGTCAACACAGAAGGTGTGGTCTGCTTATATATTTAAAGCTGAGCTTAAAAAACACATTTATTTTTTTTTTATAAAACTTTTTGAACTTTTTAATTTAAATAGTTGTTATTATTTTAAAATATTATTTATAATTTTATTTTTTTTGTTTTTAAATGCATATTACACTAAACACTAAATGCACTGCCAGAGAAGTCTCAAGCTGGCGTAGCAGCGCAGCTAAGCTTAAATCATACAACCACACCTTAAACTTGAATCACCGTTTATTTGAACTGATTTTTTCTATAATAAATACTTACTTCTTATAATTTATTTTATTTCATATTAAATGAATAACAATTAATTATATAT